ATTCACATCGGTGACATTGAAATGTCCAAACCTCTTTTAGAAGTTTGTTGGCATAAGGCTCTTGACATAGTATAATATTATCATCCCTCCTTGTGAATGTCATATATACCCAAAATCATTTTCTTTACCCCCAAGTCTTTCACACTAAAAATTAACATATCATCCACATACAAGCAAATTATAATGCACACACGTTTTTACATTTAGTGTATACACACTTTGTGTTCTTGACCACTAACCACATGACCTTCCAGTTGCACGATATAAATTTCTTCTTCCTCTAGTTCACCATTTAAAAATGCAATTTTAATATCCATTTGATGAATAAAAAGTTTGTGAATAAGTCAAAAATTCATCATTAAAAGATTAATTTTCTTTTAATGGATCACTATCACTAGAGGGTTCATCATTAAAGGTTTTATTTGCTTGTAATGGATCACAATCACTATATGGCGCAACGGTCTTGTGTTCAATTTTCAAAGGAAACACATTCTCAAAAGATTCACCATTTTTTGTTTCAAGAACGTATAAACAAATAATCATGTATGCATCATTTAGTGTGTACACATTCTCCAAAAAAGATCACATTAATATCAGCAATAACATAGCTTAACGTAATGCACATTATCACATTATTTCTTCAATTTAAGAAAGTCACATATGTGCTCCACTGTTTCAATTTATGCAAAAATAGTCAAGAGTTATAAAGCTCATTTTCACTCAATGAGATAGGTAATAAAAATATAGCTAAGCACCCCCACAATTTTAAATATTTAAAAAATAGGTGCATAGCCTTTCTAGAATTCATAGAGATATAATTTAGATCTCAACCTTTATTTGTAAACAGTGATTTTATCAAATAAAAACTCACCTTTTAAAAATAAATGACATAAAATTTATTTTATCTCAAAAACTCACCAATAAATGTGACAAATAACTTTTACCACCTCTAACACACAATATACATGCTTTAATAAAGTTTATATAAATTCATCAATTATATCATAATTTTCTAGAGGTGCCCCCATATCACTAAATATCAAACTTAAGATATTTAGGAGTTTCATAAATCAAAAAATAAAGAATAAAAAATATCATGTAAAACGCCAAATCTATTATATCACATAACACAATAATTAACTAACCGTAAGCAAATTCATCATCATGCAACATTTCAAAACTACGAAGAACAAAATTGTTGGTCATAACAAAATTGTCACATCAAAAGGAACTTTAACCCCAACTTTTTCCAAGAGAGAAACGGAAACCAAATTAGTTCGAATCTCGGGCACATGAAATACATCATTTAGTGATAAAGTTTTCCCCGATGTGAGATTCAGAAGATCTTTCCCCTTTCCATGCACTTTAACAGTTTTAGAGTCCGTTAGGTACACGAGCTCTTCACCATCTCCTATAATAGTATAGGAGGTAAAAGCATTTTTGTTTTTACAAATATGCTTGGTAGCCCCGGAGTCTACCACACACTCATTCACACCATTAGTTTTACAACTTTGAGAAACAACCGTAATAAAATTATCATCACTACAAATCAAGTTTAAACTTGATTTTAGTGGGTTGTTGTTTTGCATAGACTTCTTTTTACCACTAAATAAAAGAATAATATTTTTTTTAAAAGGGATGTTAAAGTATGGCTTATTGTAAGTAGGAAAATAAAGATACTAAGCATTATACGTAGAGATATATCCAAATATCTGTCTAAATCGCACCATGTGTGCGACGGTGACACCTTGTGAGATCATGTGTGCATGCATATCCTGCGCCAAATACATTCTTGAGATTGTTGGAGGATTTCGTCAGATAAACCTGCAAAAAATCGTTAGAAAAATAATATAGCTCGAGTCGCGTAAACGTGGTCCTCAAGAAAGTATTTCCAATTAGCGAAAACCTTTCCCCAAGATAAAACGAGCTCCTCGGCGTAAGCCGGTAACAGAACAACGACAGTATAAATTTATTAATCCAGCAGAGTAAAAATTATAGGGGATATTTTGCTCAAAAATAATTTTTTATGCTGTCAGCGTTCTAGCCTGGCCGAACACATATATATGTGTGCGCAAGAGGAACGTTGTCTTCCTAGCCAGATTAGAAACGGCCGTATTAAACAATAAAGTTTAATTTGTATTTTAATAGTAACGTTGAATTCATTTGATAAGATTAATGTTGGGATAATCTTGAAAGCAACCGCTCAATTCCAAGTTGCAACACATGGTTTATAACAACAGTAGCATATCATGACTCAAGATTAAATATAATAAATAATAGGGAAAACGATACCGAAAAGGTCGATTAGGCCCTCGTACTTTACAAACACTCAATTAAGTCCTCGAACTATTAAAAAACGTTCAATTAAGCCCTTTCGGTCGGTAAGTAACCGGTTTCCCGGTTAAATGTAACATGTTTCCTGGAAGCCGCTGTTGCTGGAGTTCGAGCACATTGTCGCCATCGTCGTCGTTTAACCGGGAAATCGGTTACTTACCAACCAAAAGAGCTTAATTGAACGTTTTTTAATAGTTCGAGGACTTAATTGAGTGTTTGTAAAGTACGAGGGCCTAATCGACTTTTTCAGTATAGTACGGGAACTTATTTGATAATTTTCCCTAAATAATAATAATAATAATTAATATTGTGTATAAGATGTATAAACAATTATTAATAAATTATTGTGTGAAAAATAACTAAAAGAAGTAACATATTGATTCATTTGAAATACTACTATTTTTCCAACACCCCTAGACCTTACCACCCCACCCCTGACCATACCCCTTACCCCACCCCCACCCACCCCACCCATACCTTCCTTCCCTACCTCGACCCCTATGAGTAGGTATGGGTGGGTCTGAAGGGTTTTAGGGGAGTATGGGTAGAGTGTAAGATCGTGGTAAGGGTAGGGGTCAAGGGTGTGGAATTGGGTGTAGGCTGTAGGGTGGGGGTACGAGGTATAGGGACAGGGTAGGGGTTAGGAGTATGGGTACACGTATGAGGTGATCGACCCCACATATTATATTATATATTTGTGTTCATGAGTGGATGTGTGTCTATATATGTATAGGGTTACGTTATTTTGGACATTTTAATGTTAAACGGTGTTTTAAACCTTTTGAAGTAAACATGATCTTATGACATTGCTTATTTTATGCGTCGCTTATTAACGCGAGTCTTAATAAACACCATTTAGTAACCTGTGAAGTAAACGTGTCAGTCTTCTGGATGATCACAGAACTAGGTGAAAAAATTGATGAGCATGTTTTCAGATTTGAAAATGGAAAACTAGAGAATAAAAACAGAAAATTGGAGATAGAAAAACAGAAGAAAAAAACAGAAAATTGGAGAACGAAAAACAGAAGTAGAAAACAGGAAAATATATATGTTATTTAACATGCCCTAGATTTTTCAAAATTAATTTTATGCCCCATAAGATCCTCATACTGATTTAAAATTTCTTTTACTCCCTAACACTCCTATATCTTTGCTCTAAAAAATAAAGTGTTGGGCCACGGGAATGCGGTGATAGCAGTCTAAATGTATCATTATTATTAAAGTAGTTGCTCTTAATAGGAATAAATGATACAACACTAATGTATGAGATTTCGCATACCCGGTATCTGTGATTTCGGTCATTTAACTGATTTAAAACATCATATTTCGACACTACAGTGATGATCTCGAGCTTAATAGCTTTTCGCGACCCGAGATCAAGTTTTCGAAGACAACCGAGATCAGCTCAGCCCAGCCCAAAATCCAGTTGTTGACGCCAGCCAAAGATCAATTTTGCAACAGACACCCGATATCTATTTCCAAAATCCCTGACCGAAATTAGCAACTTCGACGCAGGCCCGAGATAAGCAACTTCGACGCAGCGCCGAGATCTGCTCTCAAAATCTTGACCTGGAATCCATAACTCGAGCCTCTGTATTTCTGAACAATTTTGAGCCTCCGTTTTAATTTTGTGTCACTTATGATCCTATTTATTGAATAACAGTACACGCCCACGATCACAATAGTCAATTTTTCATTATGGATGCATATACAATGGGCAGTGATTCTAGGCCTTAAATTCTGAGGAGAGGTGAATTTATTGTCTGGAAGGCCAGGTTCCTCAATTGTATACGAAGCAGAGAGAATGGACGGAATATTCTTACATCTCTCAATGAAAGACCAATTGAATATTGGGTAGATGTTCCGAGCGACACAACCAATAATCCTCCACTTCCTCCAAAGAAGGTTCCAAAACCTGAAGACGAGTATACTGAATCCGAAAAGCTAAGAGCCAAAGCTGGTCTCCTTGCTGCAACATATCTGCTGCAAACTATCCCGAATGAACTCTTTATGCCAATTGATAGCTTCACAACGGCCGGAACCGAAACACGGCTTGTCAAAAGTACTCCAAAAATTTAAGGTCAAACTATATTTTTACTCAAACTAAAATAAAAAAACAAGTACTAATAGAGAAGAATTAATTCAGGGATAAAGTCTTTCCACAAAATTTCTCCTAGTACAAAGGTGGTTTCGAAAGAGGACGAATTCCTGCAATATGATTGATTGGCTGAACACTAGATTCTTTTAGCATAAATTGTCACTTAAAAAACACTCATTTTAGTGTTTTAAGCCAAAAGTTGGAATGCATTTTTTTTTATTTTTTGTAAACACTTCCTAAATCGTGAAAATGTCAAAACAAGAAAACGAAAACTTAATTGTGAAATGGAGAGTATGTGAAAACTGCCGAGTATATTAGAAGTTCTAAGTTAGTGCAAAAAAGTTCCATCAAATCAGGGGATAACAAGAAAGGCAAAAAAAAAACATGGAACCGGGCCCAGCCCGGACCCGGTATCAACCCAGGCCAGTTCTGGGCCCAAGTAATTGCAAAAAAAGCCCGCCCAAGCCCAGCGTGGAACCAGAACCGGCCCGGGTCCATCACTAATTGAGAATCATAAACTAAAAGATAAATGTCAAAAAGTAAAGTAGTAAAATAAACCCAATGTAGCCATGTAGCCATGTAGGGCACATTTCAAAGAAACCCACTCTCTATAATGGAGCATTACTGTACATTTTATAGAAAAACGATTTAATAAGCACTGGAATTCTTCTATAACGAGACGTAGCAAATTAGCAATGAAGATGGAAGCGACACTGCGACAATCACATCAGAGCAACTAAAACTACAAAAGTCCCAAGTATAGAGAGAACATTCATGCAAATCCATCATTGTAAACTCTTACAAACTTTTACAGTACCGGCGACATTTTCATATGCCAAAGCTGAAAATTGTTCTAGCAATCTATAATCGCAGAAATAGTTGAAACATAAAGGTTATGGTCAATGTTGAGAAGGGTAGACTCTTTTTTGAAGATGAAACAATCCCTGCTTCAGGCATGTAATTCCCATTCTTTCTTTTGAGTCTTGGAATAGCTGGGGGTGCAGGCATATCAACAGGATTGCTAAAAGGTGGAGGCGGTGGAGGCGTAGCGATGCCTAGACCACCATTAAGTGGAGCAGGTGGTAGCGTCACAAGTAGTGGTGGCGGCGGCGTAACCAGTGGCAGTGGTAGAGGTGCAGCAACTGTACCACCATTAGGTGGAGAAGGTGGAGGTGTAGCAACTGTACCGCCATTAGGTGGAGAAGGCAGTAGAGGTGTAGCAACGGTACTGCCACTAGGTGGAGATGGCGGTGGTGGTAGAGGTGTAGCAATGGTACCGCCATTAGGTGGAGAAGAGGGTGGTGGTAGAGGTGTCGCAACTGTACTGCCGTTAGGTGGAGAAGGCAGCGATGGTGGTAGAAGTGGAGCGCTTGTTGGATTGTTACCACTATTGGTCCTGGTATACATGTGTAGTCTAGTATTAGAAATAACAGATATGCACATATGCATATGGCTTAGCATTGTATGTCTATTTGAGAAAAGTTGGCGATTACACATGCTTTATGAAATTGTGCCCTTATGTCCTGATACCAGTACCAAAAGAAAGAAAATAGAAGTAAAACTTCACAAAGCTAGTGAGAACCACCAAATCAAATAAAGGTCATACCCATTGGGGCAAAAGGTGATCTGATACTGATCAGCCTTGCAGGTAAAGGTGCTGGTTCCATCATCAAATGCATAGCTGTACGCACTGGGACAAGCATTTTTAAAGATTTTAGAATAGAAGGACGGTTTACAAGTTGTTGGATTGGCATACTCTTCGCTACAGCAATACTCAGGCATTTGAAAAGCCTCACAGGCGCTCTTGCACCCAATGACAGCCCCAGCTCCCCCAACCATTTGAAGCTCTGTAGGACAACCTGCAGTAAGTGTTTACCATTATCAACTAACATTGAGAAGCGTATCCTGCGATTGGTTCAGAAGCCGTATGCTAGTGGGAGTAGTGGCAATATTACATTAGCTAGATTCTATACCAAGCAATATTATATTGTTATGGACTCAGCTAATTGGGAAAATAATGAAAAAAAACAATGCATCATTTTCTTTTTGTTGCCTGAAACAAACTTTTAACTTCATTTTGTAAACTTTTTCGGTAATTTTTTACATTCTCCATACATATTTTCAGATTTAAATGAACTTTTAGTTAATTTAACCAAATCAGCTATTTCAACAAATTCAGCTACTTCAGCCATTTTAAATTTTATGCCTAAACAAACAAATTCAGCTACTTCAGCCATTTTCAGCTCAGGCGATGCATAAAACCTTACCCATGTTGAGATTGGAAACGCAACCAGTGCTGTTGCACTGCGCCCCTAGAGGGGCTATTATCATTGGCAAGTTGTAGCCATCGACCAAACTGACATCATAGAAATCTTTATCTTGCCAACCTCCGAGAGTGATCTCAAAGAGAGAACAAGGAGATTTGCCCCCCATTCCACTGCATTCAAGCTTTCCACCACAGTCCCCAGTTTCACAAGATCCAGCACCTGATGTGTCAAAAGTACATCCAGTTCTTGCCCAAATGCGGCCCGACCACTTTGGGGTACATGGAATGGAGACACTTTGGCCGGATTTCAATTGAAATCCGGTTGTGGGTAGTGCTGGAGTTCCTGCACCCGCCATCGTGGCAGGCCATATTGTTTGTGGACAGCTGTTGGTTATGATGAAACTGCATTGAAAAGAGTATGAAAACAACGTTGAGAAAAGTAGTGTAATGAGATTTGGTTTATGCGACATTATTATAAGTTATAAGGAACCCTAGCATAATATATTGGGATTTCTTCAGGTCTGTATGACTAATAGATTTCCACCCTATGGTGGAAGATTTGCCAAGTGAATAATTTCTGAACCTCTTATATTGCAACTTCAGGGAAGATTTTAAAACATTCAATTGATGATTATATTCAAAATCCATAACGTTCAGTTGCTTGGAGAAGTTCATCAGCCGTAAGAACACAATTTTGGTTTAGAATTTCTTTTTCCTTGGGTGGCCTCAGCAAGAAACAATTCCTTCCTTTCTATTACCATAACTTCATGGAGTAATGTATCTCAAAGAAAAATATCAGTACTCCGTATTACTAAATGATACTAATTGATCTTCTTAAAAGTAGATTGGTTTTCTATTTCATTAAATCAGATATTCACAACAAATTATTCCTTTCTTTACCTGCAACTTAAAAAACTTATTTTACCAGCTTGCAGCCTAAAAAACTGCATTATTACCAGCTTGCAGCTATCACATCAAAACTTATTTATTAGGTAAAGAATTTTAAAACCCACATCAAAACAAATTATTCCTTTCTTTACCTGCCTTTTCATGGATTAATGTCTTTAAAAGCAAACTTATACAATTTAATTTAATATTGTAATTACATTAATTGATCACCTTAGTAGATTGGTTTTCTACTTCCTTAAAACAATGAAGCTCTCATATTAAAGAACTACAGGGAATCATCCCAAAAGTCTATACAGGGAATCATCCCAAAAGTCTATACAACCACAACATCCAAGCCTTAGTCCCAAACGAAGTCAGGATCGGCTAACATTAATTGACATATGAATTCCCACAACTCTATATTGTAATTATTTTATATACTGTATTATACCATTTTGCAGCAAACAAATCAAATTTTATTTATTAGGATTTTTTTTCTGAAACCCTAATCACAAGCAATTGGCTTTCGAAGTTAACTTCAAAGAATACTCTGTACCATGTTCTATGTCCATCAAAACTCTGAACTATAGAGAATCTGATAGAGCACAAAAATGTTGCCTTTTATATTTTGTCGACACAAGAAGAGCTGCAGTAAAATAATTAAATGTGCTGAAGTCAGCAAGAATACTTTCAAGCCCTTTGAATATATGTTCAGCAAGACTCCAGGGATAGATTTCTCTCCGTCCTGCTTTTCCACAACTTGGAAGCTAGAGAAGCGAACTCCATGCTCAGATATCCACGATTATCTGATTTCACAAACGTGCAGCTGTATTGATTATATTACTCTCTTTCCCAAGAAGTCCTGATTTGATCAAGTCATATTTAATGTAATTTTCTAAGAGTGATACAAGTTTGCTGGTGATATAAATTTAGTTAAACAACCCACAAAACTTTCAAAGTATAAGTAAAATTAAGGACTTTAGTAGTTGTGCACTTGTCCCTTACCATGCAGTTTGATTCTGCAGAGATCTCAAGTTCCATTCCAAAATTCTGGAATGAGTAATTTATTCCAGTTACTTCCCACAGATACTGGACAGTTGGAACTGATCAGATGAAATTATCAAATTTAAGATCATTGCGAGCAGAATAAAACATATGGAATTGAATCTGTGGCACCCATTCCAGGCTACAAGGACCAACTGTTCGAAAAAGAAAACCTGAAGATCCTGGCAATCTGTTGGTTGAAGATGGTACTTATGATAGGAAGATTAGGCGATGGTAGAAGGTGTAGGAACAGAACATGGTATGCCTTTAATGAGCAGGCCTCAACTTCGGTTGGTATGAATATGTTGATAAAGACACAGCATGCTGAGTTTGAGACTTTTGAATTCTGGAAATGCATATTTGAGCAAAAACACCCTGCATGAATAGAAAATAAATAGTTATAACAATCAGAAACTTATTCCCATATTCATTAATAAAAAATCTCACATTCTCATTAAGAAAATACAGAGAATATAAATAAACACATATTAGGCTATCGATTTTCCAATTGTAGCCCTTCAATTCCTGCAAAAACAACACCATTTAAGGCACCATTACATATAATAGATGGTAAAATAACAAAGAACCAGAAATGAGCTCAGCTTATATCCCTAAACCTGAAAAAACAGAAAGTCAAAGAAGTAAACATCAGTTTAGCTTAAATAAAAACTCAATAATGATATGAGCTAGACTCAAAAATTGAGTGTCCATAAAAGAAGGCCACAACAACAATTTTAACATTTCCAACAACAAACCAGTCATAATAAGGCTTCTAGAAATAATGGTACCCTGTAATAAAGTTACATATAAAGAAAATTCATCAAGTCAAGCTCTTATTGCAGAGCAACGCGAAAAATAGGACTTGGTGAGATGATGCTAACCAATACAAAATAAGAAAGCACGGTAAAGTTATTACATCAACAGTTGATAACATAATGAACAAGGAACTTCAATAACCTGATAAATCAGATATTGAGCTCTTAAGTTCCACTAGTGGAGCTCAAATGTGATAACAATAACTCCGGCTGCATGATAAAGTTAACCACCTAGTAAGTTTTGGAAGGTACTTCAGTTCAATATAAGAGTCTCCTACAGACTTGGCAAGATAAATCCAGTCTGCCACATAAGATGGCCTTTATCTAAGTGTTTTTCGCATTATTGTCTCATGAGAGCAGTAAAATACTAAAAAACGGAAGTAGAATAAGCAGTTGACATCTAGCTCATGTCCATTCCATCTCCAACTTGGCTACAAATGGGAGTAACAGCAGAGAAAGATCTCTCAAACGGCGATGGATGGAACGTCGCATCCCGCCTACGCTTGAAAGCACAGCCGTCGGATGGTGAACTTTCAGCATCAAGCTTCCTCCGTATACCTTTCACAGCCGTCTCTTCAGCTGGTGTTAGTGGAAAAATATGCTTGCTCACTCTGCAAAGGGAGCTATGGTTGTCATACAAGATTCTCTGGTTACAGTTTTTGTCACAAATGTGTGTCAGCCCAGTTAGTCTGCATCTGTAAATGTTCCCACACACATGTTCATTTTCACATTTCCAATCACATTTGTGAACCGGGATCGGACCATCATCTTGGCCCAGAATGCTTGACAGATAAATAACAGTTGTAGGAACAGCTACCATAGATTTGCCAAATACCTCCATTGTTTCAGTGAACGTTCAAAGCTTGAATTTTTGGACCAATCCCGCACACTGGTTTCTCTTTCCCCAAAGACTTCTGTAGACCCACACAATACAAGAAACCATCAACATTTGCTGGAAAGGACCAGTTCTCTATAATCACTACTCCGCATAAAGATCCTAACAGTTTCCCGGATTTATCACATCTGAAGACTAATTATCACATCTGAAGCAAGAAGTACTGCTTAATAGAGAATACTGATATCAGGGCACACATAGAATGAGCAAACTCAAGTAATATGTTCGCTACCCGTGATACTTAGCATCCACTGTACTTCTAAATCACAATTTCCCTAAATAGAGAATGCAGATAGAATGACAAAGAGATCCAGCCACCACATCAAAGATATCAACTTTGTTTCAATTACCCATCATATACAATCAAAACAACAAGAATTGATACAATGTGCTCACACATATTCCCCAAAATCATTTCTTCAATTGACTAATTTGGTTTTCTGTGAAAGTATACCTAACATTGACTTCCCACACGAATTCAACTTACAAATTAGCTAATGCATCATAGTTTGTTTCGCTGAAAGAATATTTAAGCACAAAGAAAGGAATAAAAGCATATCTCAAATTCGCAATAATCATACACCAATAATCAGCAATTGCATATAATGCACATGAATGAGATAAAGAGATATCATAAGAAAATCTTTGAGGGAAGAAAAGCGGGAAGGAAGGTATAAGGGAACCATAAAGAAGAGACGACCAACCTGCCTAGCTCGAATCTTCAAGCTCTGCCTATCTCGCCTCCTACCTCTAGCCTCTTCTCTCTTTCTCTCTCTATCTCTCCTAGTGAGAAGCTATAAACGGGAAGAGGGGGACAAGGAGAGTGCAGTATTTATAGGGGGGAGTGAGAACTAAAGATAAGGGCGCGATCCGGTTCTCGTGTAGCAAGCCGTTGGGGGGGTGAAATGTAAATGCATACGGAATGAAAGTGAAATTCCGCTGAAATGCGTGGCCATTTTTGTCTTGTGCGACTCCTCCCGGTCTTCTCTCGCTCCTAAAGTCGTCTCCGCCATCGTCGACGATCGCGCGAATGAGAGGGAAATGCTCTTTCGATCACGTGCCCCGACTTTATGTCTTCTTCTGAATAATAAACACACGTGAAATAATAACCATACGGAGTATATGCCACTTTATTAGTTTAGTTTTATGCTCAAAACCATACGGAACATTTCTCACGATCATCGGGAATTGCAAATTGCATTTTAAATTTGAAATACAATTTACTCATAAAAATCCGAGCAAATAAAAATCATGGTTGAGAAGAAGTTGATAAATTTGAAGATTATTTGAGATTTTTCTATGTGGCATTGACATGACAATAACTAAACATAAAAAATCTTAAATTTGAGGATCATGGATGGAGATTGCTATAAGTGATGTAATTCTATATATTTTGTTCATTGCTAATTTCTATGAATATGTTATTCGTTTCATTGCTAATTTCTACCGCCGCTTTGCTGACTGAGTCACCGTGATTAACCTCTCCACCATCCTATCGGGTTGGGTGGAGGGCCTTGGAGTTGGGCATTCAACCTTTGGACCAAATGTATGGTTGTGTACTTCCATTTGACCTATTGTGGTTGTCTTTGTACCCGCATTTGCCAAATGACAGTCCATTGACTCAAAGTATACGAAAGAGTTACGTTTACAGCAAAAAATGACTTATTACATGAATATTTACATGGTCTTGCAAAAATAACCTAACTAGGTGTACGATGTATACCAAAAATCAAAACCTGAGTGTCTTTGTCCCTTTATTAGCATTGTCCCTTGTATAACATGTCACTACTACACCTTGCTCCATGAATGTGATGCACTCTCTTACAAGGTGTGAGGGTTGTTCACCAACAGTGGTAATGAATGTTGCATTTGTAATGCTTGTTCCCTATGTGAACCTTTTCATATTTACTGCCCCCCCCCCCCCCCCCCCCACCTTCATTATCCAATCATGCATAGTTGTAAACTTAGGGATACATGATTTAAGGAATGAATGTTGTATGAATGAAAGCATTTTCGCAGTTCTGAATGACTTGCGAAAAAATTCTTGTTGAGCATTAATCCTTTAGAGATTGAATTGCTCTATATAGACCGAGATCAAGGATGTTCATATTTGGACTATTGGGTGGTTGATCAATTAAGGATATTTTTAATTGACTCATATTTTCTGGTCTAGTCTAGTCTGGCAGATATATTTTATAATTGTCCAAGTCTAGTTTAATCTAATCTGATCTGGACTGCGACTTAAAACAGCCCAAGTAAAAACATGATAACACACATTCATTTGCATTGTGTGTACTGTCAAGTATAAACATCAATACATCATATTTGCCACAAAAACTCCATAGGCAATAGACACTACTTTCGATGCCAATTGCTCCATCAAGATGCAAAATGGTGACCTAGTAAAATGAGAATGTCTAAGGATGTGTTTACTTCGCAACTAAAGTCACAGTTAGGTTAGTAAGATAGATGATGTAAACACGCAAGATGTTTAAAAAGGTGCTTACTGACCGAAAAGGTAGTAAGCCTTAAAAGGTGCTTAAAGTGTCGCTTACTAGGCATACCACTCACATGTATTAATTAAGCGGCACTTTAAGCCTTTTCACTTTCCAAATTTACCCTTACCTTTACCCCTTACCCTTACCCTATTGCTACCCTCTACCCGCTACGCCCCTCTACCCCTACCCTACCCACCTTACGCCGACCCCACCCCTACCCCGACCCCTACTCCTTCCATCTGCCCCTACCTCAACCCCACCCCTACGCCATCCTACCCCCAAACCCCGTCCTTACCACCCTACCCCCGACCAAACCCCTTACCCCACCCCCACCCCTCTCCATACCCCGACGTTACCCCCTTTACCCCTTACTACCTTCCCCTACCTCGACCCCACCCCGACCCTCTACCCCTTGCCCCCTTACCTTACCCCCACCCCACCCCTTCCCTACCCCTTTACCCTCTACCACCTGCCATTACCTCGACCCCACCACCACCCTTACTGTGCCACCTAACCCTCGACCATACTCTTTACCCCACCCGTACCCTTACCATACCCCCGACCTTACCCCTTTACCTCATACCACCTGCCGCTACCTCGACCCCACCCAGACCTTATCCCCTGAACGAGTAGGGTAGGGGTTAGGGGTATGGTGGTGGTAGGGGTAGGGGTCGAGGGTGTGGAATTGGAGGTGGGGTGAGGGTGGGGCGGGTTAGGGATATGGGTACGCGTACGAGGTGACTCGCACATATTATATTATATACTTGTGTTTATGAATGTTTGTGTGTCTATATATGTATATGGTTATTTTGGATATTTTGATAAAGTGAACATGAGCTTACAACACTGCTTATTTTATGCGCCGCTTATTAACGCGAGTCTTAATAAGCACCGTTTAATAACCCCGTGAAGTAAATGTGTCCTAAGTTTTACAATCAGGGAGTAGTTCAAACTTAAAATTGAAGAGTATGGTACAACTTTCATCAGTTTTTGTAGGTTGGGGTTAACGTTCTTGCTCCCGACCATTTTTGCGAGGTTAAAGCAGATTAGGTTTAATTTGGTGGCTTGCCGGTGATCGGCACGTGTCCCGCGAATCTGGTGGCTCTCTCTGTCCCTTTTACTAGTTCTCTCATTTCCACCAAACTCTTGGCAAACTACGTACAACGTGTCATTCTGTTTCCCTCGTGCTACGAGAAATTGGGTCAGATGGGCTTATTTCAATCGGCCCATCTGTACCTGAATTTAAATATATCAGTGTTGTTTGGTACTCCCTCCGTCCCGGTTAAATCTTGACGTTTGCTTTTGGCACGGTGTTTTAGAAGCCCAATTAATAGAAGAACAAATGTCTTGCATGCCCTTTGACTTTTGGGGGATTAATGTTATCCCCTCAAATGTAAAAAGTAGGTGGGTAGTGAAGGGTAATTATGACATTTAATGTAAAATGGGTTGTCTAAAAAGGAAACATAAAGATTTAAATGGGATGTCTCAAAAAGGAAAGTGTAATGATTTAAGTAGGACGGATGAAGTATATCCTAAAGGGAAAAGGGGCAAAAAAAACCTTGGAGTTGTCATTAAGGAGGATCTATGCCCTTAAACATTTGTTTTGGGCAAAAAACTTTAAAATCAGTCAAAGGAGGCAATCACCCCTTCTTAATGGTGAACTAGTTAACGGAATGGGCAACTAATAAATTTGTTTCTTATGACCTTATATAACAATTTAAATATGACAATATTTTTTATATTTTTCACTTAATTTCAGCGGGAGAAGTAAATCTAGAATATTTTGGTCCTAAAATTAGACATACTTTCTTCCTTCTTAAATAAGCGCAACATGTTGAACTTAACATTATTCACATGATCTATTTTAAAGAAGCTATATTTATTAATTAATGTATTAATATATAAATTTTTATTTTTAAAAATATTCTTGATTTTTTCTTATTGGAAATTTTCAATATCTATTTTTTTATGAATAAAGAATTATACTCGCTATGTCCCTGAATTAGTTTTCAAATTCCATTTACGTCCGTCTCAAAATAATTCTTTTTTGCAAAGAACTTGTGATTCACAACGAGGTCGTTTGGTAACACTGAAACTGGTTGAATTGGCTTATTCTGCTGAAATTTCTGAAGTTCTAGATGAAGTGGCTATATTGACTGACTCTGCTGATTTATGGAAAAAAATTATATTTAAAACATTTTTCATTCATAAACTAAATAAATAATTATATTAAAAATAGCTAAAATGGTCCTCTAGAGTAACTTCAAACAATACAGTCAGAAAAGTAACTCCAACCTTTTTTTTCTTTTTACTACATCCGTCCCACTAAGATTGTGACGGAAGAAGGTGGCACGATTATTAAGCAAAATGAGTTTATGTGGTTGACACTAAATTGATAAAGTAAGAATGATTAAGAGTCACATAAACTTTACCAAATATGGTATAAGACAATCTAATGGGATTTGTCGAAAAGGTAAAATGAGACAATCATAGTGGGATGAAGGGAGTATTACACAATTCAGCACGCAAAATCAAAAGTTACGTATTTTGTGAAAAAACTGGCTGATAAGCCGAAAAACAGGGTCACCAAACGGGCTCTACATGTTTTACACATTCTTATACATTTCTCTCTCTTAAGTACAACTGTCCACCACACGATTTTTCCTTTCTTCAATCTTGTGCAAAACATACTTTGGAAGATAATTCAAGGACAAATGGAGTATATATTAATCGTCAAAGTTATGCATTGGCAAATATGAAAAGTCAATTTTGACACTTATTTAAGAACGGTTGAAGTATTACAAAATTTGTGAATTTATCATGAATAACAAATACAAGATATCAATTAAAAAAATAGATACAAAACAAATTAATTGGTTTAAAGATAATCCAAGGAACCCAATAAGCACTCATTGATATGAACCACAGGTATTGATATGAACCACCGGTATTGGTTGCGGCCGGATGCGGCGTCTTTACTTTCATCGCGGATTTCCTCCGTGATTTGAAAACTCACTAGTATAGCAGCGTGATGCGATTGGGCCTCCGTCTGTGACCCAAGAAAAATTATACCATATTTCAATTTGATTCGGTTTGAATTTGTTATGTTTTAAAAATATAGTAAAAAATTATTAATTTTTTAGTTTGATTCGATTTTATTTGTTTTTTAAAAATATACAGAGTTCATTGCCCAAAAATATGTACGGAATATAAAAAATTAGTAAAAATTCGTACCACTTCACTAGTGTTATTATGTTTATTAAACCAATTAATAAACAATTAATTTGTATTGTATT